TCTATTCTAGTCTTTCCTAGTCCATTCTATTCCTATTCTATTCTGTTTTGTTCTATTCTATTCCTATCATATTCCTATCCTATTCCTATGCCATTCCTATTCCTATTCCTATTCTTCTTAAATCACATGGTCACAGCACCCTGCAACCACCCTGCAACCGGTTGTAAATATGAGCATTACATGACAGAGGGTGGATGAGCACAGCACAAAACATCCTGGGCTGTTCCCTGCTACCACTAGATGACATCGCTTGTGGCTCACTGCCTTAGAAGAGTGAGGAAAGTCCTCAGGGACGACTCACACCCCAGTCAGCACTTCTTCACCCTCCTGCCACCAGTTAGGAGATAGAGCAGCATCGCCAGCCGCACCAACAGGCTGAAGAACAGGTTCTACCCGTGGGGCTGTCAGACTTCTGAACAGAATAATAACTTCATGTCAACATAGTACGACAGACTTGCGGGGCTGGCGTGTTGTGCCACAACGTCACGGAGTGTAATAAGATTGGGACTTGGTTAGGGACTTCTGTCCTCACCGTGAGTTGTGTTGGTGGCGGGGAGGATGCACGAAGGGAGGCTCAGCCGATCTCATTGTACACACGTTGCGCTCTGACAATAAAGGTAATTAAAAATGAGCAGATTGCCCAGGTAATAATGAGCAGGTTGCACGTGCCACTGCAAGAGTGGTAAAACAGTCCAAGTGCAAGAACAGGTTACATCACTCACTTTTTTTTCTGAGTCTGTCGTATCTTCAGCCATTCAGTGAACAGTTGTAACTTGAGGATTATCTGCATTCATTGGAAGGCTCCCCATTATCACATATTCATGAACAAAAGACTTTTCCTATCCAGGGGAGATTCATAAATGTCTTTAGGATCAGTTCAGGATGGAGCGGGGTGATATGGGGATTTATTTCTGCACGGTTGAAACTTGTCCTCTTTGGAATCATTATTTCTGCCTTTGTTTTTGTTTTTAATTGAAGCAATGAACAAAAAATAAAACAAGCACGCACAGAGGCACTGAGCTGACAAAAAAATAGGACATAAATGCAACTGAAAATCAAAGCTAATGCTTAACAGATAAATTGATACCTTTTTAAGATATACAAACATCTATTTGTGAATATCTAAAGGATAAAATATAAATACAAAAATTTTAAACACTCATACTCAGTATTTTTAGCCAAAAGATATTTCTATATGCAAAGGTTTTCTACTTATTTGGAAAAATGTTGTTAATATAGCTAAAAATTCTGAATAAACAGATATACAAATCTTCAAAACTCTTTACTGTTGCATTTGTTAATCTGTGGCAATTTCCCACCCTTCTAAATATTGCCAATAACATCCACCCACCCTTTAAAACTTAAACTCTTTGATTTCCATACTTTTGTGATAACATATCTAACAATAACAGACACTTTGCATTAATGTTTATTAGGGAAAATAAAATATAGACCAAATAGTTGAATTAATTACAGAAAACTTGATTCCCCCCCCCCCGATTTAAAATTCCCAAGACTCTCTAGAGATTCTAGAAAATTCATCTTAACAAGCAATAATTTTCTGAAACAATTAAACTTCTGAATTAAAAAGGAGGAAATGTAGCAAATGGTCAATTTTAAATCCTGAATCACCACCTCATTTTTTTCTGAAGGTTTGAAAAAAACACTGATTGATGTAGGAATATATACAGCACTTTTAATTTCAAATTACTGTAAGTAGACTATCTACATTTCATCAAATCTTGTATGGAATCTCTGATGATTATTCCCTAGTTTCGGTTATTTCCAGATGTTTACGTATGTTCACAATGAAGTCTCTCTCTCAGTTGAGTTTGTCTGTGAGATTCTCAGTCATCCAGCTCATGGTTTCTCTTCAAAACAGACAAAGATGAAGAAGTTTTGTCAACTCGTAAAGCATTCCTGGCTTGCTCTCGAGTTGCCATAAGAAAGATTGGGGAAAGATCTGATGGAGCAATTGGGTTGCTATGACCAGAAGCACATTCACATACCTATCTACAGATTGTGCCTCAGGTTACCAGAGCCAGCAGGAGAGACGTGTTATCTACAGCCCACGAAAGTGCTCTCTTGGAGAATGTGATTTATGACACACCTTGGGCGGAGTGGGGAAACGGGGTCCATAGGTGGGCAGTAAATTACGTAGGGCAGAGCCGACTGCACTTAGGAAAAGTGCTGACGTGTTGCTCCTAATGAATAATTCGATTTCTTTTGAACCTTGGCTCGAGGCTCATGAATTAATTAGGGCATCCGTCGGAACCCTGACAGCTTGGATGAGAAGCAAAATGCCTTCAAAAGAAAAACCAAGAAAGTCCAGTTGCCTCCTGAAAAAGCACCTGTCATGCCCCTGGTGGAGACTGACTCTGAGGGAGAGGAGGAACAGCCGACAGAGAGTATAAGTGTGGCTCCGGAGGTTGTGAAGGAGGCTGGGGAAGGGCAGAGTCCGGACCCAGGCCCATCCCCTCTCCATCCTAGGGCATGCAGGGAGGAGAGGATAAGGGAGAGACGTGGTCTACTGGAGAGGAGAGGGCCTTGATCCTCTTTATGGGCTGCAGCTGTAACAAGAGGATGGACATGTATACAGACGAGCACTGGAAACAAAGCCTAGAAATATCTGTAGTTTATTTATTTATTTATTTATTTATTTTATTTGTCAATTGTTTACGAGATAAGTAAAAGTGTATACATAATTATGAATACATGAAATGAGTACATATAAGAAAAATAAAAGAAAAATAAAAGAAACAATAGGACAGGGACGGTGGGCACGTTGGTGCGCTTATGCACGCCCCCTACAGACCTCTTAGGAAAGGGGTGAGGTCAATAGTAGACAGTCTAAGGTTAAAGTTTTTGGGGTTTGGGGAAGAAACTACAGAGTCGGGTAGAGTATTCCAGACATTGACCACTCTGTTGCTAAAGTCGTATTTCCTGCAATCAAGCTTGGTGCGGTTAACCTTGAGTTTGTATCTGTTGTGTGCTCTTGTGTTGTTATGGTTGAAGCTGAAGTATTCATTGACAGGTAGGACATTGCAATGTATGATTTTATATACTATACTTAGATCGGATTGAAGGCGGCATAGTTCTAGGTTTTCTACGTCTAGAATTTCAAGTCTGGTGGCATAAGGTATTCTACAACGAGTAGAGGAGTGGAGAACTCTTCTTGTGAAATATTTCTGGACTTTCTCAATTGTGCTAATATCAGATACGTAATGTGGGTTCCAGACTGATGAGCTGTATTTGAGTATTGGTCTGGCAAATGTTTTGTATGCTCTAGTTAGTAGTGTGATATTACCAGAGAAAAAGCTACGTAAGATTAGGTTAACAACTCTTAATGCCTTTTTGGCTATGTAGTTGCAGTGGGCACTAGCACTTAGATCATTAGAGATCTATTCCAAGGTCCTTCACAGAGCTTGGATCATCAACAAGGTCTTGACTATTCAGCTTGTATTTTATTTTCGGATTTTTTTTGCCAATATGTAAGACAGAGCATTTATTTGTTGAGATTTGAAGTTGCCATTTGTTCCTCTCTGAGTTTGGCGTCCTTCCCAGTGTGTGTTCTGTTATCTGTGGATGTCCTCCAGCCCTTATCTTGCCTGGTTTGTGTTGGTTTTTTCCCCCTCCTTCTTGTAACTTCTTGTGTGAGAGTTTTTTGTCTTCTGTCAAGGATATTTGGAGCTTGGAAGCAAAGTAAAGGAATAAAAGGGGCTTCATCTGTTTTTTGTGACTGTGTTTATTTGGTATCCCACCCGGGGTCATCACAGCATCTTTGGGACAACCATGACTTGGATGACTGAGAATCTCTACCAGCCTGTTGTCAGTCGAGTTACGGTACCTCTCCTGCTAAGAACATTGATAGGGTCTCTTTCCGGTATGAGTTTTTTGATGGCTCTTCAGATTTCCTGCTTGCCGAAAACACTTCCCGCACTGTGAACATTTATAGGGTTTCTCTCCAGTGTGAATCATCTGATGTCTCTTCAAGTTAATTCCCGTACTGAAGCACCTCCCGCACTGTGAACATTCGTAGGGTTTTTCCCCGGTGTGAAATCTTTGGTGGGTCTTCAGATATCCTGACTGACTGAAGTATTTATCACAGTGGGAACATTTGTAAGGTTTCTCTCCCGTGTGAAATCTCTGGTGGGTCTTCAGATATCCCGCCTGCCTGAAATATTTCCCACACTGAGAACATTTGTAAGGTTTCTCCCCGGTATGAAATCTTTGGTGGGTCTTCAGACATCCAGCCTGGCTGAAGCACTTCCCACACTGAAAACACTTGTATGGCTTTTCTCCTGTGTGACTTCTCTGGTGTAATTTCAGGTTCCTTCTTGTACTTAAGCATTTCCCACACTGAGAGCATTCGTACTGTCTATTTCCTGTTGGACACGTTGGAATTCGCCTCAGCGAGTCCGCGTGGCTAACATTTGTTTCGTATTCAGAAGACTGTCGGGGTTTTTCGTTCTGACAGGGACTTTCTTTCCCACGTTCAAGGAATGTGTGCAATTTCTCACTGGTTTGGGCTTTCTCCAGTAACCTAAATGAGGGACTAGGCCGGATATTTTCTTCCGAATTGGGACGTTCTTCATAATCCTCGCTGGAATGGATCACATTGCGTTCTACTCGATAGCGGTACCTTCTGCCGTATTTGGAGAACACCGGCATTTCTTCCTTACTGGACTTACTGGTGTTTGGGATAAGGGATTCTGCACGTTCATTTTTTCTCTCCTCTCTTTTTGTCCTCTGCTGGTTTTCAGACTCAGCTCCTTCCCCCTGCATTTCTGCAATCTCTTCATTCTTCCTGTAGTTTGTCTGTGGAGTTATTTTGTATTTTTCTTCCGGTGCATTTTTTCCATAAGGTGAATTCTCTTCATTAATCTCGAAGTCTATTATATCATCTGCAGAAAAAGACAAGAGACATTTTAACCCAGGGGTCGCCAACCTTTTGGACCTCAGGGACCACCAAACTCATAATTTTAAATCCCAGGGACCATTACTATTAATTTTGACTGAGGGTGGCTTGCTGTCATTGGTGGGAAAGAGAGAGAGAGAGAGATCTGATCTAACCTCTCTCTCTCTCTCTCTCTCTCACACACACACACACACACACACACACAAGCACACAGAGGCAGGGGTGGGATTAAATTTCTTAACTGGTTATGTGGGCGTGGCCTAATTTGTGGGTGTGGCTTGGTGTCATGTGACTGGCTGGGCATGGCTTGTATGTAAATATTATCAGTATCTATGTAAATATTGATTTATTTTTTTTTATAAAAAAGAGCAACTTTTACCCAAAATCAGACAAAGCAGGCAGGCAGATTGAGTTGCTCACAGAATCATTCAGAGATCTATCTATCTGCCATAGGCTACCCGAGTCTGTCACATAAAATCTGCTAGCAAGCTTCTGAATTTTGATCACATGACCATGGGGATATTGCAATGGTTGTAAGTGTGGAAAAGGGTCATAAGTCAATTCTGACGGGGTGCAAGGTTGACTCAGCTTCCTGCATCCTTCTGAGGTCTGTAAAATGAGGACAGGGGAAGGAAAGGGAAAAGGAAAGGTTGTTTCCGCAGAATGTTACCCTTCTCTATCTCATCGTTTTCTCTATTCGTAGCTTCCAGAGGTTTTTCTTCGGTGTGTAAGAAATCCATCCGCTCTTCCGTTAAGGAACCCTGAAAAAATGAGGATGCTGCAGTTTCAGAGAGAAAGGACTGATTTTACAGACACAAAAATAAAAATCTCACCCGTTCTCTATTACACAAGCCCTGTTACACGTAGGCACGGCAAGGAGATCAGGCCCCACTCAGGCAACACTGTGGGCAGGTAAGAGTCACAAAGCACTCACAGCCCTATTTGTGCCCCTCCCACAAACATTGTGAGTTCGAACAGTCAGCAAATGAACAGTCAGACGTCGAGGGCTATATAATACGGTACAGGCAATCCTCAACTTACAACCACAACTGAGTCCAAACTTTATGTTGCTAAGTGTGAAATTCGTTCAGTGAGTTTTGACCCCCATTCAGCAACCTTCCTTGGCACATTTCTTAAGGGAATCATTGCAGTGGTTAAAAGTGGCAACGCGTTGTTGTTTAGTGAACCTGGTTTCCCCAGTGACTTTCCTTAAACATGAGTGATTTGCCAAGCGTCCAAATTTATAAAAGGGTTGTGATGACCTGGGGGCGTGACACAAAAATCACCAAGTCACAAAAATAGAAGAAAGTCCCTTTCATGCCTCCAACTTGGCCCCAGTGTCCAATTATCCTCGACTGGATATCAAACTCTTAAAGAAAACAGTTTACGGAGGAAGTAAATGCAGTCTGCACCCAAAGTAAAGTTAATTCGAAATAAAAAAATCCAACACAAACCACACTGAAGGAATCCCTATGGCAGGCAAGGATGGTTAATGGCAGACTTCTAACAGAAAAACGCAGCAACCATAGTTGGGAGGAATCCAAAACACAGATAACCTCTGATAAGAACGCATGCTTTGCTTCCAGCAACTTTGCCATGCGCAGTTTGTCCTTTTAACCAGTCCTCCCAGCTGCAGCCCATGAAGGGGATCAGGGCCCCTTCCTCCCCCGTAGACCACACCACTCACGTTTCTCCCTTATCCGCTCCTCCCTGCGTGCCCTAGGATGAAGAGGGGGTGGGCCTGGGTCTTCCTCTAACTACCCAGCCAGCCTATGCCCATCCACAGTTTCCTCCACAACCACCGGAGCCACACTCCCACTTCCTGTCAGCTGTTCCATCTCTCCCTCGGAGTCAGATTCCAACAGGAGCGTGACAAGGATAGAATAACCGAGTTGGAAGGGACCCGGGAGGTCTTCAAGGCCAACCCCCTGCTTAGGCAGGAAACCCTACACTTGTGATGGTGAACCTATGGCATGCGAGCAGTCACCTCAGGGTAGTTCCACTGCGCATGTGCTCATGCCTCCCGCCAGCCAGCTGATTGTTGGGTATCTGCCGCACATGCATGGGGGCAGGGCGCATGCAGGAGACATGTGCACATGCGCAGGGGAGGGGGTGGGATTCAAAATTTTTAACAACCTGTTCTGTGGGTGTGGCTTAGTTGGTGGGCGTGGCTTGGTGGTCACGTTATTGGCTGGGCATGGCCAATTCAATATCACTCACATCGAGGCACGCATCTCCTTGCCTGGCCTCTCATGACTGTGGGGATGCTGCAACACTCGTAAGTGTGAAAAATGGTCATAAGTCACTTTTTTCAGTGCCATTGTAACTTTGAATGGTCACTCCACACAAGCAAAGGACCAGCAAAGGAGGGGGAAAAATTCCAGAGACGTTCCTGAAAGTCTAGTCCTGCCAAGAATGTAATAAGGGTTAACGGAGAAGCAGTTTCTGTAAGCAACACCAGAATGTTTCCTTCCTGCCTTCCTTACAGGATTAGGCCAGTAATTTCTTCTAACCAAAACTGCTTGGAATGTTAATAACCGGTTCTAGCGAATAGGTGCGAACCTGTAGAATCCCACCCCTGGGCAGGAGAGGTCACATGTGCATGCGCAGGGGGGGCGTGCACATGGCTAGGGAAGCACGGGATCGCACGCATGTGTAGGGGAGTGGGGAAGCACAAGGGGGAAGTTCACGCATGCACAAAGAGGGCGGGGGAGTGCATGCGTGCATCGCATTATGGGTGCAGGCATGGATGCATGCACTTTCGCCCCGCAGCGACGAAAAGGTTAGCCATCACTGCCTTGTACAATTTCAGACAAACGGTTTTTCAATCTCTTGTTTAAAAATTTCCAGTGTTTTGATTATGTGACCTTGGAGGATGGCTTGCAACGGTCATAAGTGTGAGAAATAAGTGACTATTTTCAGCATCATTGTAACCAGGGGTGGGATTCTAAAATTCCAGCAACTGGTTCACTGCCCAGTTGCTGAGTGGACATGGTGGGCGTGTCCTACCCGGACTTCCGGGAGGGCAGTTTTTCACCTTCCCCAGGTTCCGGAGGCTTCCCTTGGGCCTCTGGGAGGACAAAAATGGCTGCTGTGGTTCTCCGGCAGCAGGTGCGGATGGCTGAGGTCTCGGAGAGTGAGGACTCAGATGAGGGGCCTGCATGTGATACAGGGATGGGGCCAGGACCATCAGGGAGTAAAATGCTGCCTTAGGAGCTTGTGGAGGCTGGCAGCAGTGATGAAGATGACCCCGAGGAGCCTGTGCCCAGTGCATGCACACAGGGAAGAAGAAAAGAGCAGCTGCAGAAGCATGGGAGACTCAGGAGTAAGGCTGCAAGGTAATGGCCCCTCCCTTAAGAGATAAAAGCCAGCTGAGAAACCAAAGTTCTTTGCAGGAAGCAAAGAAGTTTTTGCACCCAAGCCTTGCGGACGTTCGGACTCTCTTCAGTTTGTGTTTGGAGACTCTTAGTGCTTGAAATATTTCTGGGCAACTTTATCTAGTGTTCTTGGCAGCCTTGCACAACCTTGGCAAGGCTCATTCTTATCAGAGACAATTAGTTTGAAACAGCCTTTTAACCGGGAAGGAACGGAATTCGTAAAGAATCATTAAAAGGTTTTGCTGTTTCCTCTGTTTTGTGTTTGTTTCCTTGGAACAAGGTTTGGGTCAGAACAACGGCCTCCCCTGGGCTCCGGAAGCTGGAAACAAGCCCATTTTGCGACTTGCGGTATTTCTGCGAGGGGCGTTTTTCCCCCTCCCAGACCCTCCACGCGGACCTTGTACTTACCTGCATGAAAAATGGGCTGCGTGGATGCTCCTGAGATGGGAGGGGAGGAATTGGCAGGGCCAGCTGGTCAGTTTAAATACCGGTTTGGGGAATCCGATGCAAATTTAACATCCGGTTCGCCCAAACCGGTCCGAACCAGTAGAATCGCATCCCCTGAGAGTAACTTTGAATGGTCACTAAATGAACTGTTGTAAGTCAAGGACTACCTGAATACAGTACAAATGCAGTAAGCTGGCAACTGAAAATGGTGCACTCTTTAATAGAAACCTTCCAAGTTAATTCTTAAAACTTCACCTGCCACGATCCTGAGCTGGTCTGTTCCTGGCTCCGAAGGAAGTCCTCCACCAGGGCCACCGCCTGGGAACATGACTCCGGCCTCCTGGCTTGGATCCAGCTCCGCAGCTCCGGTGGGAGGCTGGCCAGGAACTGCTCCAGGATCAGCAGCTCCAGGATCTGCTCCTTGGTGCGTCTCTCCGGCCTCAACCATTGGCGACAAAGCTCCTGGAGTTGGCTGTGGATCCTCCGGGGATCTGCCACCTCCTGGCAGCAGAACTGCCGAAAATGCTGGCGTTGCATCTCCATCCTCAGGGCTTCCCCTCGCAAGATGGCCGCCTTGACTTTCCCATAATCCTCTTGGTCTCGGTCTTCCAGGGTTTGGAAGGCCTCTTCCGCTCCTCCGCTCAGAGCCGGCCGGAGATGGGCCGTCCATTCTCCTCCGGGCCACCGGCAGGCTGTGGCCACCTGCTCAAAGGAGGCCAGGAAGGCCTTGGGGTCTTCCCAGGGGGAGGCCTCTGACATCATCACGGGGTTTCCACCTCTTCCGGGATGGAGCGTCCTCAGGAACTCCTGCCACTGGGCCTCCCAGCGCTGTTGTCTCTCTGTGCAAGATTCCCCTTTGTTCTTGGGGGATGCTGCCTGTCCTGGCTGCCTGATCCTGCCTTCCAACGGAAGAGGGGTGGTGACTTTTCCGGATCCTTCTGGTTCCACTTCCAATTTGGGCTCCACCGAAATGCCCTCCTTCATTGCTTTAATTCCCAACGGAAGACTTCAGGGTGGACCTAACCCTCCAAAAAATGGAATAGAATAGAATAGAAAATAAAAATAAGAATAGAATTGAATAGAAAATTAGAATATAATAGAAAATATGAATAAGAATATAAGAATAGAAACTTAGAATAGAATAGGAAATTAGAATAGAATAGGAAATTAGAATAGAATAGAAAATTAGAATAGAATAGAAAATAAGAATACGAATAGAATAGAATAGAAAATAAGAATAGAATAGAATAGAATAGAAAATAAGAATGCTAATGAATAGAATAGAATAGAAAAGAATAGAATAGAATAGAAAAGAAAAGAATAGAATAGAAAATAAGAATGCTAATGAATAGAATAGAATAGAACAGAATAGAAAATAAGAATAGAATAGAAAATTAGAATAGAATATAGAATAGAATAGGAATAGAATAGAATAGAATAGAATAGAATACACAATAGAATAGAATAGAAAATATAGCATAGCATAGCACAGCATAGAATAGAAAATAGAGAATAGGATATAAAATATAGAATAGCATAGAACAGAATAGAAAATTAGAATAAGAACAGAATAGAATAGAAAATAAGAATAAGAATAGGATAGAAAATTAGAATAGAAGAATAAGAATACAATAGAAGAATAAGAATAGAATACAGAATAGAATAGAATAGAATAGAATAGAATAGAATAGAATAGAATAGAATTCTTTATTGGCCAAGTATGATTGGACACACAAGGGATTTGTCTTTGCTGCACATGCTCTCAGGGTACATAAGAAAAAAAAATAGATTCATCAAGAATCATACGATATAACACTTAGTGATAGTCATAGATCGCTAACAAGCAATCAAATCATACTAGGAAACAAAGGTGCACAATTGCCCATTCACAATTTTGTGGGATTTTAATCTCTCAGCCCAAGGAGACATCGTACAGGTAATCCTCGTTTTACAGCCACAATTGAGCCCCCAAATTTAGTGAGAAATTTATAAAGTGAGTTCCCCCCCCTTGTGACTTTTATTGCCGTGTTTGTGAAGGGGATCGCTGCCGTTGTTAAATTGGTCACGCGGCTGTTAAGTGAATCTGGTTCCCCCTTTGCCTTGGCTTGTCCCCAGGTCGTAAAAGGGGATCCCCTGATCCTGGGACACTGCAACCGTCATAAATAAGAGTCACTTGTCAAGCATCTGAATGTAAATCACATTCAAAGGTGCCTGAACACTTTCGTAAGTGTGAAAAACGGCCACAAGTCACATTTTTCAGTGCTTCCTGTTGTAACTTTGGACGGCCACTAAGTGAACTCTTGTAAATCGAGGACCATCTGTGATCTAGGGGTGACAGGATTAGGCACTGCAGAGATCCAGAAATCTCCCCACGGGATCACTGAAGATCCCCTAAAGAACTTGGCCCTCAGCTACTTCAGAAACATGAATTGCCGTGTCTGTGAAAAAATAGTCATAATAACTCCCTTGCATTGTAACCTTCAACTGTCACTAAATGAACTGCTGCAGGTCGAGGATTAGGTAGTTTTATTCCTCCCAGAAGGTCTTCTCAACTTCCCAGCCATCTAAATCAGGTCTCCCATCCAAATCCAAACCCACCTGGGTCCTGCTTAGCTTTACCAACAGAGCTACTACCCACTCGCCACTCTCAGCCTGGCAAGCCCGCAGGGAAAAACTGGACCACCCGGCCCCTATTGGGAGAGAGGGCAGAGAGGCTCCAACCCACCCCCCCCATCCCACCCCCGAGCCCATCATCATCATCATTATCATCCCCGTGGGCGATCGGCCCTCGGCCGTGGCTTATGGGCAGAGTGACCCGTCCCAAATCTCCAACCGGGAAGCTGGCAGGGGGGACTGGAACGCACCTGTCCGGTGCCCAGCAGCGGCCCGCGGGCACAAGGGGGAAGAGGGCTCCGGTTAAGGGCCTCCTTCTCCACCCGCAGCCCACCCCGGAGCGATGGAGATCAGCCGGCGGAGGTTCAGGGCTGGCCGGGGAGGACGATCGCCGGACGCCTCGGAAGTCACCGGCAAGGAGAAAGCGCGGGGGGAAAGGATCGCGGGAGGCATCCGCTGCTCGGCTTCCTTCTCGGGGCGGATCGCGACGCTTCGCTTCGGCCTTGTTCTCCTCGGGTTCCGGGGCGGACCCGCCGAGGCCCTTTTTTTCGTGGTTTTTGTTTTTTTCTGCCCGTGGCTGGCTCGCCCCCTCCTGGGCGCCGCCGGCCCGTGGAGCCTCGGATCGGGCTGGATCGGGCTGGATCCCGACGGCTTTCCCGGCGACGGGCCGTTGCACTCCAGGAGTTGATCCGCAGCAAACCTTCCCGTGTCCGAGGGATGCAATCCGAGGGGTACAATCCAGATCAAGGGAGATACCACTCTGTCAAGCCTTAGGAAGACCGCACCTAAGAGTACAAGCGTCCGGTTTTTTGGTCACCACATTAACCAAGATGTTGACTCGCGGTGGTGGGATTCAAAAAAATGTTTTTTAGTGCCGCTTCTGTGGGGGTGGCAGGGGAAGGTGACTGCAAAATCCTCATTCCCTCCCCACCCCACTAACCTGCTTTCCAGCTCCGTTCTCCTGTGCAGGGCAACCAAAGAAGACCCAGCCGACTGGGGAGGCAGAGAAGAGATGGGGGCGGGGCCAGTCAGAGGTGGGATTTACAGGTTCTCCAGAACTGGTCAGAACCTGCTGAATGCCCACCTCTGCTTCAGACCGGTGGTGGTATTCAATTTTTTTTACTACTGGTTCTGTGGGTTTGGCTTGGTGGGCAAGGTGTGGCTTGGTGGATGTGGCAGGGGAAGGGTGCTGTAAAATCCCCATTCCCTCCCCACCTCACTAACCTGCTTTCCAGCTCCTTTCTCCTCTGCAGGGCAACCAAAGAAGACCCAGCCAATCAGCTGGGACTCAGGAGGCAGAGAATAGATGGGGACGGGGCCAGTCAGAGGTGGGATTTGCCAGTTCCCTGAACTGGTCAGAACCTGCTGAATGTCCACCTTTGCTTCAGACCGGTGGTCGTATTCAATTTTTTTACTACCGGTTCTGTGGGTGTGGCTTGATGGGCATGGCAGGGGAAGGGTACTGTGAAATCTCCATTCCGTCCCCACCTCACTAACCTGCTTTCCAGCTCCTTTCTCCTGTGCAGGACAACCAAAGAAGACCCAGCTGACTGGGGAGGCAGAGAATAGATGGGGGCGAGGCCAGTCAGAGGTGGGATTTACTGGTTCTCCAGAACTGGTCAGAACCTGCTGAATATCACCTCTGATGTTGAGACTCTAGGAAAAAGTGCAGAGAAGAGCAACCAGGATGATTAGGGGACTGGAGGCTAAAACATATGAAGGATGGTTGCAGGAACTGGGCTTGGCTAGTCTAGGGAAGAGAAGGACCAGGGGAGACAGGATAGCGGCCTTCCAATATTTGAGGGGCTGCCACAAAGAAAGGGGTCAAGCTATTTTCCAAAGTGCCTGTAGGCCAGACGAGGAATAATGGATGGAAACTGATCAAGGAGAGATTCAACTTAGATATAAGAAGAAATTTTCTGACAGTGAGAACAATCCACCAATGGAACAGCTTTGCCCTCAGAAGTTGTGGGAGTTTCATCACTTGAGATTTTCAAGAAGAGATTGGACTCCCATCTGTCAGAAATGGTGTAGGGTCTCCTGCTTGGGCGGCGGGTTGGACTAGATGACCTACAAGGTCCCTTCCAACTCTGATTATCTGTTAAAACACTTTTTGACAATGAGAACCATCAACCAATGGAACAGTTTTGCCTTCAGAAGTTATGGGAGCTTCCTCATTTGAGACTTTCAAGAAGAGACTGGACTGCCATTTTGCTGCGAGTGGGGTTGGACTAGATGACCTACAGAATATCTTCCAACTCTGTAATCTTGTGTCCTTTAGATATAAAGAATAGTTGCAGGAATTGGGTATGTCTAGTCTATTTTTTTTTTAAAAAAGGACTAGGGGTGACATGATTAGCACTGTTCCAATATTTGAGGGGTTGTGTGATGATGACCCGGGCGTGGCACAAAAGCAACAAGGTCACAAAAGTAAGTAAAGTCCCTTTAATACCTCCAACTTGGCCCCCCAATGTTCAGTTATCATTGGCTGGAGAAAAAAACATTCCCAAGAACAGTTTTTAAAGGGAAGAAATTCAGTCAGAACGCAAAGTAAATATAGATTATAAATGAAAACCAACACAAACCACGCTGCAGCAATTAACGAGACAGGGCAAGATAAGGAATTGCAGACTTCAAAAGATAACAAAACACAGAGTTGTCAGAACCCAGGTATGGCTTGACAAAGATAATGCACGCTTTGCTTCCAGCAAGGTTCTGTGCGTAATCACCCTCTTTATCCTGTTTTCCCAGCTGCAGCCCATGAAGGGGATCAGGGCCCTTTCCTCTCCCGTAAGACAAGTTGGTCCCTTCTCGGTTCCTCCCTGCATGCCCTAGGATGAAGAGGGGATGGCCCTGGGTCTTCCTCTGAATGCCCAGCCGGACTGTGCTCTTCCCCAGTTTCCTCCGGAGCCACCGGAGCTACACTCCCATTTCCTGTCAGCTGCTCGACCTTCCCCTCGGAATCAGATTCCAACAGGGGCATGACCGGTTGCCACAAAGAAGAGGTGGAAGAGCCATTCTCCAAAGCTCCTGAAGGCAGGACAAGAAGCAGCGGATGGAAACTAATCAAGGGGAGATCCAGTCAAAATATTAGGAGAAATCTCCGGACAATAAGAAGAGTTAACCAGTGGAACGACTCGCCTCCAGAAGCTGTGGCTGCTCCATCACTTATAGCCACTTGTCTGGAATTGCACAGGAAGTCCTTGACTCATAACAGTTTGCTTAGTTTCAAAGTTACAACGGCATGGAAAAAAGTGACCGACATTTTTCACACTCACCTGGAAACCCAACCTGTAATATATAAGCCATCTCACCGTTCTGAGTCCTGATGGGAATTGGTTTCCAGTTCTTCAAAAATCTGTGTTGCCGGTCTCTGAATTGTTCCAGTCTGTCTAAATTAGACTTTCTCAACCCTGCCACCTTGGGGATGTGTGGACTTCAACTCCCAGAATTCCCAGTCTTCAAACATCCATGCTGGCTAGGGAATTCTGGGAATTGAAGTCCACACTTCTTTAAGCTCCGAGGTTGTGAAATGGGTGCCTAGTGATTGCAACCCCCATTTTGTGCACGGAGTAGCAGAAAACGTCCTGATCTAAATCTTTCTTCAGAGCTGAAACCCAGAGTGGAAAAACAGCCTGTTGAAGGAGCTGGACAGCATCTCAGCCAAGCAGAATAAGGATGATTTTCCATAATCTGAAAACACCGATCAAAAGGGCGAAGATGAAAATAGCCAATCCCGGTTCAAAAACTGGGAGAGTCAGAGATCAGAACGTTTTGTGCTGCTCGGTTCATAAAATGGGTGTTGCAAGAACTTGGCGAGGCAACAGAGACAAATCTCTGGTGGGAGGATCTGTTTGCCAAAAGTCGGGTCTGAATCTTGAGGACGAGTATCGGGCGGTATTTGGTTCCACACAGAGCTCAAGCAAGAATCCATATTACAGAAGGCTAGCTAAGAAATTAGGCTGGCCACCCAAATAATGTTTCGTGCTGCTTTTTCCTGTTATCTAAGCATCGCCTAGACCAGGGCTCTTCAACCTTGGCAACTTTAAGACTTGTGGACTTGAACTCCCAGAATTCCTCAGGCAGCTGAGAGCAAAAAAGGGAATAAAATCACTGAACCACTTTTATTTTAGCAAAGGAAATTGTGGTTGTAAGTTGAAAATTACCTGTACAGGAATTCTGACAGCTTGTTACACATTGTGACAGGTGGCCGAGTTGACATTTCATCACGAAAACGCCTTCATTTTTTAAATAATTTATGGATTTCTTATGCCGCCCATCCCCCTTACAAGGTGACTCTGGGCGGCTTCATTGCACATTTCTTCCATCTGCTGGAAAGGTGTGAAAAAGAGTTCACGCTTGCTTATACAATGGCCCCTGAACACACAGCAAACTGAGAACCAAGGAGTGATTTTTCTCACCTCGGGGAAAATAGATCAGAAACTTCAATGAACGGCAGCATTATCTGTATTATTATTATTATTCTTAATGGAGGGCTCTGGCACATTTCCAATTGGAAGCAGCCGGAAGCGTGGAGACTGCAAAGCACTGGGAGGAATCTCGCCAGTGAGAGCAGATTTGGGAGAATCCCCCACACAGCATGAATTGACAAACGAAGGGCTGAAACCAACGGCCTTTTACTCCAGTACATAGTACCATATCGCTTTATTTAATACAGAAATATGAGATTCACCGGTAAATAGTCCACCAGCTTTCCAAGCAAAATTTCAGAAGGAGAGCTGGAAGCATTCCTGCACCGGCTTCGTAGGGAGGGAACTCTGAGCAACATGGAGGATAGTCCTTGGGAGAAAGTATAAAGCTGTTGTACTATTATTATAACAGTAGCAAAGCTGTCACAACATAACTTTTACACCACTGTTTCTCAGGCAACTTTAAGATGTAAGGACTTCATCTCCCAGAATTCCCCAGGCAGCACTGCTGGCTGAGGAATTCTGGGAATTGAAGTCCACACATCTTCAAATTGCTAAGTTTCAGAAACAAAGATTTACAGCAATCCTCTTAAAACTATCCAAAAAAAATTCCCATTAGTGATATTGTTTCATTGACACTTCTCAACGAAACCTAACCCATTACAGGTTCCCAATTTCTTCTTTATATTTTTACTCATAAAATCATAGTGCATGTTAAATTGTGTTTCCCCCCCTCCCTTACTTTAACTTAAAGCATTAAATTATAATTCTTTTTATGCAAGTGTAAGGACTTGGGTGTATGCTTAGTTGTATGGTTAATACGGATGTGTTTATATATTTCATACATTTGTATTGTTTTCTGAACAGGTTGGCAAATCTGCAAATCATGAAATCGAACAGTTACAAGTTCTATTTTATATTATAAATCTCTAATATATATATATTTAATATAAGAGGAACAAAGCCTATTATAGCCAGAACTTTTACATTAAGATTCACAATGAATTTCTCTTTTTCCACCTCAAAGATGAAGAGTTAAAATAGAATCCATGCTAAAAACTGAAATGTAGAGAGATTAAAGACTTCCTAAAGCTTAAATCATAAGTACTGTACAGAAAGATTAAAATAAGTAACTTAATTAAAAGGTGTGAAAATTAGCTGGTTCGTGTATGAGACAATGCAGAAATTCTAAGAATATTTTTTCTAGTAAAACAGATAATGAAAGAAAGTTTGGAAAAGATTTCCAATTGTTTTAGATTAAATCTACTAAGCTTCAAACAAGTTTTGACTTTCTTCACTTAATTTTTTTGAACGTTAACACTTTGGAACCTTCCTTTAATGAGAAACATAAACTTTCAATTTTAAAATGTTTGTAACACTTAAAAAGATATTTACTTTGCTACCGTCAATCCATTTACCCAACCTTAAGGGTTATTTTGTTTTTAGTAAAACATTATGCTTTAGAATTATTTTCATGTTCCATTTGAATTCTTAGACCTTCCCAAGTTTTAGGTAAAGCTTGAAAGCCAAACATAGGAGAAACGGATGAAAGTTACCTTAAAGACAACAAAATGTGATGGCTACATTTATGACACCTGAATACTGTCTGGAAATCTCAATGAGAGAAGACAATTAAGGAGAACGGAAATCAAATAAATGATTTGACATTTCAATCTGATGAGTAATTTAATTTGGACAATTGTTTCTGACTAAAGATATATCAGAAAGGCATCTCAGAAGATGTCTGAGAAATTGTCTCAGGTGTTAAGTTCAGCACTCACTATTTCCCCAATATTCTCCATTTTTCTTTACGCTTTTGAACTCTGCCGTTAAGGAAGCTTCTTAAAACAGATGGGAGCTTTTACCTCAATTGAATAGAAGGCTCTTGGTCTGTCCATTGGAGTAGCAGATGGGATTTTATCTCTGTTTGCCCAGAATATGGGCAGGGGGGTGGTTTCTACTGTGTTTGCCACCAGTTGATCAACAGGCCTTCATAACTGGCACAGTAACTGATTCATTTCCAAGGGTTTAACCTTTTTTGTAGGGTTTATTTCACATTGTGTTTTCATTGTTTTTTTAAGTTTTGCTGACAGGCACGTCAATTATTTCGGTTTTCTGGGAAGGATGGATTTAATCGGTGAATTAAAATGGGTTACGCTACCACCGACCAGCAATGGGCCCCCTACAGGTGCTCACAGGAGCAACTGAAGATCAAAGGAAGGAAGAAAACAGGCTCTCTCATTCATTCATCGGAGTTCATGTTCACGCTGGCAGCGGGTCCTGGGGTTTGAAGCATCCCCAAGGCCTCCTCCCTACAGGCCTGATGGAGGGAGGGCACAATCTGTCTGCTGAAGGCGGTACAGGATGGGATTTTATAGTTGGGGGCAAGCAACTTCAAGAGGTGCTGGAAACCTGCCTCTTCCACCATGCTGAAGGGCTGGTCATCCAGAGCCATCATCTGGGCGATAGCACGGGTCACTTCCGATGGCTTTGGACCCGGCTGCCTTTTCCCGGGCGACTTCTGCTTCGTCCAGCACTGAGGCAAAGCACTTGGCATCAGAACAGGTCCGTTCGACTTGCTGCTAGTCGGCAACATGGCTTGCGTCGTGGCGATGGCAGCCAGAACAATGTTGCCGTGATGCCTCTGCAGATGTTTCAGCAGCCCAGAGGTTGAAAAATGTTTGGAGTTCTTGCCGCGGCTAACCCGTCTCTTGCAGTGGGTGCAGATGCCGTAGCAGGGGTCCTCGGAATCCAACTCAAAGTGGTCCCACACCACGCTGTGCTCCGGACCGCTCCGGGGCTTCTTGGCTGGAGGTGGGTGGCCTGGGAAGGCGACCGGGATCTCATGAGCGGCCTCTCTAGGAAAGCGGGAGGAATTCAGAACGGCAGTTCTCTGGTATCTTTTCCAAGGAACTTCTCCCAGCTCAAAAGATCCCTTTCCTGCCCCGACGGGCGATCCATCCTGGGGCTCTCGTGACTCAGAGCATCCTTCCAGCCTCTCATGTTTGACAGGCATCTGGTTGTAGCTGATCTGGGAGCCCATCCTGGAGCTATCCTCTCCTTCAGCTTCTCCACACTGAGGAATCTCCACCTTGATGTAATCTCCCATTTCGTCCCCTAAAGAAACAAAGAGGGACTTTATTCATCTTCTGCTCATCGTTTTTTACAAGAAGATTAACCCTTCTAGGTCAGGGATCCCCAGCACCTGGTCCCTGGGACTGGCACCGGGCTGTGGCATGCCAGAAACCAGGCTGCGCAAACAGGCAAAGCCCCATCTGGAGGAATGCAGGCAGCACGTGAAATCCTGCCCCCTCCAGTCCGTGGAAAAACCTTTCCTGCCTAGGCAGGGGGTTGGAGTAGAACAGAATTCTTTTATTGGCCAAGTGTGATTGGACGCACAAGGAATTTGTCTTGGTGCAAATGCTCTCAGTGTACATAAAAGA